TTCATTTTTCAAGAGCATTTGAGAAGATGATTAATCATATTTCTTCCTACTCCCAGACTGTATATAAAGACCATTTCTTCCAAGTGATATTCATTCTCACATCCAATTCAATCAAATACTACAACACAAGTGAGTCAAAACTCTACTATAATTTTCCTATATCTAGATTATTCATTTATATTTTCAATCAACTAATACAACATTCAACACCCTACAGTAGTTTGAGTTTTGACTTATCTACGTTCAACTTTAACTTCTAACAGTATAATTGTTATATTTATGATTAATTTTAATTAAATTTCACTTACTTAGTAGAATTTAATTAAATTTGTGATCCTAAAGTAACATGATGTCATATGACAGGATCCCTGAGAAAAGTCTAAACGCGTCATGGTAAACTCATACACTCACCCACCCACCCACGCATCTTTCTTCTGTTTCTGTTCTGCAACTGGGTTTTTTCTCAGTGTGTTTGTTTGTGCTTGCTCTTCAAAATCGACGCAATTCTCACATAACTAGTGTATATTAGCCGCATATATATAAATAGAAGCTCGGAATTTCATTCGATCTTCATTCCGATAGAACCGTAAGTACAGTTAAACTTGTATTATTCTTTCCATTTATTGGACGCATGTTTTTCTTGTGAGTTGTTTGTGAAGCTGAACCTATAGTACAGACTGCATTTCACAAACAAGTCATATTTATTCCATGTAAGTTGAGGATCAAAACTTATCGCGAAAATAAGTTATCGCTTGTTTTCAAATGGTTCTCACTGAGTTGCAGGTTGAGGTATGAATGTGTGTCATCGATGAGAATAAGTTCATATAAAAGCGCCAAAGTTAAAGTAATATCTGAGCGAGTTTATGTTGAACTTTCCGTCAGATGAGAGCTGATTTGCACAATTTTGTAGCCTATCATGTACCCACATAGTTTCGGCTTTGATGATGACTGTTCGTGATTTCAAAGACAGGTTTCCATGCATTATACTGCTCTTATTTTTCAGTACTGTAGTCTATATGAAGTGCTTCACATAAAACTGTAAATATCGCTTGTGTATAAGAGATTTTTTGCTCATATCTGGAAGTGAAGCATTATTACCATGTTCGTTATACATATTCATTTCAAGTAACAAAGGGTGACTTAGCTATGCTGACTCGATTTGTATCGGGAGGGTGAGTTTACAAATGAACAAAAATAATTAAGAGCATCAAAGAACATGTTTCGTCCTTGCTTGAGGGACTCGTGAGTTGGCATAGACTGTACAAGAGGAGATTCTAATTAAACGAATGAAACTATAGGGTATGGGCGTGAGTATAACTTTCTTTCACCCCCACGCACACTGATGCCCACTCACACTCACACCCACCCTCAAAATCGAGAAAGGAACGAATATAATTTATACGTTTTATTATGTTTGTTTTTGTATAAAAAGTTTTTTTTTGTCATCCGAATATTTTGTTTCAGCAGTGAAATGAGTAAATACTTACTGATATAAACACCAAATTTTTAGTATAGATTAATCTCAAGTTTTGTACTATTATCTAGCTACTTAGTAAGATATTTTACCACATTTTTATTTTGTAGAAAAAAGTCAGGACTCAAAGGGTTATAATCAAAGTGGAATTAGACACTTGCGTCAGTCAACTGATATTTAAAACATAGAAGGATTTATAAATGGATAGAAGAAGAGCAATAGGTATCGATTTGGGTACAGCATATTCATGTGTTGCTATATTTCAGCATGATAAAGTGGAAGTAATACCTAATGAACTGTTTGAGCGAACAACACCGTCGTATGTGACATTTACAAAATATCGACGTTTAGTTGGTAGTGACGCTAAATATCAAGCAGATGCTAATCCAAATGGCACTATTTTTAATGTTAAACGACTTATTGGTCGTAGATATGATGATGCAGTTGTACGAAATAATTTAAAACATTGGGCATTTCAAGTAGTCGATGATGATGGGAAACCAAAAATTATAACTGAATATAAAGAGCAACTAAAGTTAATGACACCTGAAGAAGTTTCTGCATTGATATTGAGAAAAATGAAACAAATAGCCGAGGATCATCTTGGTGGACCAGTTACTGACGCTGTTATCACTGTTCCAGCTGCTTTCAACGATTCACAACGTCAAGCAACAAAAGATGCTGCTGTTATTGCTGGCTTAAATGTATTACGTATTCTCAGCGAACCAGCAGCTGCTGCGATGGCTTATGGTTTACATAATCAAATATCTGGTGAAAGGCAGATCTTAATTTTTGATTTGGGTGGTGGTACTACTAATGTATGAGTTGTAGTAATCGAGGAAGGAGTCTTTGAAGTTAAATCAACGTCAGGTGATGTGCAAATCGGAGGTGAAGATTTTGATGTTCGAATGATTACACATTTTATCGAAGAATTTAAACGTAAACATAATAAAGATCCATCAAAAAATAAACATGCTAAGCAACGATTACGTTCTGCCTGTGAACAAGCTAAAGTAAATCTATTAGAATGCAATTATTGTATTTTCTTTCTTTAGAAAACTCTATCTTCATCAAATCGAGCGTCTATTAACATTGACTTATTCCATGAAAATATTGATTTCAGATCAACAATAACTCGTATTCAATTTGAAGAAATTAATGATGATCTATTTGTTTCTATGCGTACAATTATCGAAACGGCTTTACGCGATGCTAAAATGGACAAATCAAGTATAGATGATATTGTGCTCATTGGTGGTTCATCACGTATTCCAAAAATACGAGACCTTATACGAGAGTTTTTTAATGGTAAACTACTAAATCAATCAATTAATCCAGATGAAGCTGTTGCTTATGGTGCTGCTATTCAAGCAGCTATATTAACAGGCAATAAATCTGAACAACTCAAAGATACTTTTTTATTTGATATTGCTCCATATTCATTAGTAAATTGATCGAAAGCAAAATTCATTTTCTTTTTCTATATGATCTTTTTCAGGGTATTGAAACTAAGGGTGGTCAAATAACAACAATAATTGAGCGAAATACGACAATTCCAACAAAACAGACTAGAACATTCGAAGTTTCTCCATCTTATCAAGCTGATAAGATTGTAACAGAATTAATCGAATACGATGAGCGACGACCAACAATGCCAATGACACAGTTTTTTTATAAAAGATGTGATGTTGATATCAAAGTATTTAAAGGTCAAGATGGGCTAGCAATAAACAATAATTTACTTGGTTGTTTCACTCTCTCGAATATTTTATTTTCATCTGACGAGGCTCCGCAAATTGAAATAACATTCGATATTGATGCAAATGGAATATTGATCAATGTTTCAGCTATAGATAAGACTTCACAAAGGAAAAATAAGATGACAGTTCCAAATGATAAAGGTCGATTATCAATATCAGATATTGAAAGTCTGATTAAAAAGTTGGAAAGATATGATCTGGAAAACAATTAGGATCAAATGAAGTAAAACAAAAGTAGTTTTTTTGTTCTTTTTTTCAGACTGAACCAATAATCAAATCTTAACGAACTGACATTTTTTTTCATATTGATTAATCAAGACATATATTTTTAAAAATAAACATATAATCAATCTAAAGTTTTAGCCCAAATAAGAGTGAACGTTATAATGATTATCTTCACTTCTTGTCAATTAATTTTTAATTAATAGAAAAGAGGATGTGAGTAGGATAAATAAGATGCACTCACCTATCCACATTCATACCCATTTACACTCACCCACATGTTTCGAAATCTGAATAGTTATTTTTAGAATTAACTCGTTTGTTCATCTTATCTATTTGTATTATTTCACTTCATTTAATAAATAAAAATAATAATAAAATTCTGCTTCAAATCAATATTTATCGGTTCATTATTTCAACATCTTCAATCACTTTGTTTATCTTCTATGCAGAAAATCCAGATAATAATTATTCTTTGAATATTACATACTCTTCCTCGACTTGTCACAATAGATCTATAATTATATTCATGGCGCAATATTATTTAATGAGTTTTGATAGATTTCAATCGTCTCTTATACAAATAGATTCTCAACTACAAGTACTTCGTATCAATATTAAATATGATCGAACTTATCTTGATGCTAGTCGATGGGAACACATTATTTCAGAATATTTTTCATTATTACAAAATTTTGATAAAATCTACTGTAAAGATGAGTTTTAGAAATCAATCAATCGATTTATTTCATCGTTTTGGACTGAAAGATAATGGACCATTTACTTGGCAATCACTAAAGATTCATATGAAAATTAATGTTTGAAGTTTTCAATTCAACCGCATAGATTAGTTGAGAATATTTCAATTCATTACAACAAGATATATCTTCGATCGAGAAGTTCCACTTTGGAACGTTATTCAAATTACGAAATTGGAGTTTTTCCGGATTGTAGGTACGTTCAATCATTGATTGATCTCATTAGTCATATTCCAAATTTGAATGCATTAACAGTGGGATCCGCTTCATTATATAGAACAGATAATATCGATCACACATTGTTTCTGGAATATATTTCAACACAAAGTTCATTCGATCTTCATATATATTAGGTCTTTGCATTGAAAAGAGTGTTGATGAAACAACTGAACATTTGAAGCAAATCATTTGTTTACAATTGAAATAATATTGACCTTTTACTTTGTAATAAACCGAACTATTAAAGGGTATGAATACTTGATGAACATAGCATCCACATCCTATTCTCGATTAATCATTTTTGAACGATTTTAATTTGTTAAATGGATGAGAGATATGTATAAAATCACGTTAGGCCTACATAAATTATAGATGTTCACTGTTATTCCTATATAATTTATAGTAGTTGCGTATGAATAAGTAAAATGAAATTTTTTTTGAAAAGAAATTGTTTATGAAAGATGTTGCTTAAAAGAAAATAGATTGTCTTGTTGAACTATTATATGATATTATGTTTCTTTAAGTAACTGTTATTATAGTCAATACTTTAGAGTAGTTTTGTAAAGAAAAAACTAACTTTTTCTTTTAGAAAAAAATTAAATGAGGGTTTAAGTGCCCACCGAATAGCCCCTTGATTGTAACTTGTTAGAAAACCTGAGAATTTCTCACCCACACCCTCAAGATGACTTGTTGTCCTTGTAAATACATCTAAATTTTCAGTATTTTAAAATTTAAATATCATGATTCGGGCTCGCCTATTGGTAGGCCATAGATTTGACCTGAATATAATTATTCAATATCAACTGACATCAGAAACAGTTGCATTGTTAGAATTATAAAAAATCTATTTGAAAATTTTGACTCTGAATATGACTTACAAAATCAAATAGTTCCAGATAATAAGTAGATCTCTTCAAAGAATATACAACAAAAACACACATTGTTTCTGATAACTCGATGAAATGAAAACTCGAATATTTTCTAATATATTACTAATGAGAATTGGTAAACCAAATCTAGGAGACAACTAATCTTTAAATAAATTGACACTATAGAACAGTATCAGACGATACTGAAGGAATAAGTACATATATTCATCAACTTTGAATTTCTTTTTTATAAAAAGATATTTTATCATATCAATCTTTTTCGTTTATAGTCCTGTCAGAGAGGATTATCCAGATATATTAATATTATAAAACTTTCATAGAAACAAAAGTATTCATCTTAATTATATCAAGAATAGAAATACGATTCAATAAATTTCAAGATTTGTTTTTCTTTTCCAATAGTTGAAAATGATATCACTGAAAATAAACACAGCGCATAAGTGATGCAATACATCGAATGTCATAAGACTAACCATTGAGTCTTCTTAGAAAAAAAACGTCAAAGAATTCTATCATATCAACATTTTGGTTATTTACTTTCTTTATTTCATTGAAAATTGAATAAAAGAAATGACTCATCATACTAATATGTTGAAAAAAAAAAGAATCTTTCATCGTTCATCTTCAAATGATCTTGTAGTTTGATCGATACTTTGTTGTTGTAAAGGTTCAATTCTTTGAGTATCTAACGTATAACAATCAAGATTAGTCAATATCAAGTGACTCAAAAAGTTCGTTACTTTGTTGTTTTGCAAGGCTACAGCGAAGTGTTGTGCTCCAATATCTCCAATTTGATGCGATTGAAGACTAAGTGTAGTAAGTGTCTAAATCAAAAAAAGTATCATCAGTAAAAATAAAATATATTAGCCAAATAAATGACTCGATTAGTTTGTAGGGCATTCGCTAAAATTTCTGCTCCAATATCACTGATTATATTCGTTTTCTTATCACCATGGTCATCATCATAGTAATAAGAATCGAGTATTAGTTTGGTGAGTGTCTATATGTTAAATAATAAAAAAAGGTAATATTGAGAGTAAATAAACACTTTGTTGTTTTGCAAAGCATCGCCAAGATATTTAGCCCCAATATCTTTAATTTTATTTTTTGAAAGATCAATCGAAGTGATTGTCTATTCAAAATAGAATGATTATTACAGGTCAAATCAGTCAAAAATATTTCTTACCTCATTGTTTCGTAACATATCAGCCAAGTATCGTATTCCAATATCACTTATATTATTTTCCTGAAGGTTCAACTCAGTGATTGTCTATATCACAACAACAAAAATAATCATTAGTTAGACTAGATAACAAAATATGTTACTTTGTTGTTGTATAATTCATTTGCCAATAGTTTTATTTCATTGTCTCCATATTCTTTCCATAGAAGATCTATACTGGTGAGTGTCTGTCAGAGAAAAAGAAAACATTAAGTAAAAAGTAATTCAATTTTAAAAGACCTTATCATTTCGTATTCCAATTGCTGTTCCAACAGCTTCACAATATTTACTCCTATTCCCTGTTAATCTCAGTTTTCTCATTGTCTGAAAGAAAAAGAAAATTAGTTAAATGGAAGACATTATCTTATAAACGAACTTTGTTGGTTTCCAATGAATTAAATAGTTGCTGTGCCCCAATATCTCCAATTGCATTGCTCGAAAGATCAAGTGTAACCAGTGCCTGTTGAAACCGAATAATACTAATAAAAATAATGAAATAAGTAAAAAAAAACATTTACAGTATTGTTTTGTAGCATATCAGTTAAATATTGTACTCCAATATCGCTTATTTCGTTATACGACAGATTCAATTCACTGATTTTCTATGTCACAAGGAAAACAATAAACATTAGGATAAATAAATCTGGAATAAATTTTACTTGATTCGTTTGTAATACATCACTTAAATATTTTGTTCCAATGTCTTCGATTTTATTCCGTGAAAGGTTCAACTCAATGATTGTCTGTATCATAACGAAAATATGATCATCAGAGAAACAAACAGAGAAATGATGTTACTTTATTGTTGATTAGTGCATCAGTCAAAAACTTCATCCCAATGTCATCGATACTCTCCCCACAAAAATTCATTTTCGTGATTGTCTGTAAATAAAAGTAAAAATTTGGGAGAAAGAATATAGAAGAAAGGAATTACTTTATTATTTCTTATTTGAATTGCTGCACTCATAGTTGTACAATAGCTACCAGGATTTTCTTCGAGGTTCAATTTAATAAGTGTCTATGCGAAATGATGACGATACCTAAGATAAATGAGAAGTGTTGAAGGTTTACTTTGTTTTCTTTGAAGACATCATAAAGATATTGCATTCCATTGTTATCGATTTGATTCTGGGAAAGGTTTACAGTAGTGAGTACCTATGAAGGGAAAGTATAAATTCCTATAATATCAAATGTCAGTCAGCTATCACTTTGTTGTCTTTTAACGCGTCAGCTAAATATTGTATTCCAGTGTTACTTATTTTATTTTGCCCAAGGTTCAAATTAGTAATTGTCTATATCACAACAAAAAAATAATCATTAGTTAGACTAAATAACAAAATATGTTACTTTGTTGTTGTATAATTCATTTGCCAATAGTTTTATTTCATTGTCTCCATATTGTTTCGATCGAAGATCTATACTAGTGAGTGTCTGTGAGAAAAAAAGTAAAACGTTGAGTAGAAAGCCAATCAATCGCAAAAGACCTTATCATTTCGAATTCCAATTGCTATCCCAATAGCTTCACAATATTTACTCGTATTACCCGTTAGTGTCACTTTTGCTATTGTCTGAAAGGAAAAGAAAACTAGTTATATGGAAAACATTACCTCACAACCGAACTTTGTTGGTTTCCACTGAATTTAACAGTTTTTGTGCCCCAATATCTCCAATTGCATTGCTCGAAAGATCAAGTGTAAGAAGTGTCTGTTCAAAGCGAACAATATCAACAGTAATAATCAAAAGTGTCGACAAAAGCACTCTACAGTATTTTTTTGTAGCATGTCAGCTAAATATTGTACTCCAATATCGTTTATTTCATTATTCGATAGATTCAATTCAGTGATTGTCTATGTCACAATGAGCAATCTAATCAATACTTAAATAAATTGAAATAATAAATTACTGCGTTATTTTGTAAAACATTAGCTAAATACTGAGTTCCAGTGTCTCCAATATGATTCTTTGAAAGATCCATCATAGTAATCATCTGTGTCAAATGAAAAAATAATTATTAGGATAGAAAATTCTATACTAAAATTGACCTGGTTCGTTTGCAATACATCACTTAAATATTTTGCTCCAATGTGTCCTATTTGACTGCTCGAAAGATGTAGTATCGTTAATGTCTGCAAGAAAAGATAAAGTCCATCATGACGAAAGTTAATACAAGTTATTAATCACTTTATTGTTTTGTAATGCATCAGCTAAATATTTTGTTCCAATGTCTCCGATTTTATTCCAGGAAAGGTCCAACTCAATGATTGTCTATATCACAATAAAACTATGATCATCAATGGAACAAATAGACAAATGATGTTACTTCATTGTCGATTAGTGCATCAGTCAAAAATTTCATCGCAATATCATCAATACTCTTCCAGGGAAGATTCATTTTAGTAATTGTCTTCAGAAAAAGGTAAATAATTGTGAGAAGGAATTTGGAAGAAATGAAATACTTTATCATTTCGTATTTGAATTGCTGCACTCACAGTTGTACAACAGCTACCAGGATTTCCTTCGAGGTTCAATTTAATAAGTGTCTATGTTAAAGAATGGCGATACTTAAGATAAATGAGAAGTGTTGAAGGTTTACTTTGTTCTCTTTGAGGGCATCGTTAAGATACTGTGCTCCATTGTTTCGGATTTTATTGTAAGCGAGTTCAAGAATGGTGAGTACCTATGGAGAAAAAATAAAAATGATTATGATATTAAATGTGAGTCAACTATCACTTTGTTGTCTTTTAAAGCACCAGCTAAATCTTTTATTCCAATATCTCCGATTTTATTCTGAGAAAGGTCCAACTTGATAAGTGTCTATATCACATGGAAAACAATAAACATTAGGATAAATAAATCTGGAATAAATTTTACTTGATTCGTTTGTAATACATCACTTAAATATTTTGTTCCAATAATTCCGATTTTATTCCAGGAAAGGTCCAAGTCGATGATTGTCTATATCACAATGAAACTATGATCATCAACAGGACAAACAGAGAAATGCGATGTTACTTCATTGTTGATTAGTGCATCAGTCAAAAATTTCATCGTAATGCCACCAATACTCTTCCCATGAAGATCCATTTTAGTGATTGTCTTCAGAAAAAGGTAAAAAATTGTGAGAAGGAATCTGGAAGAAACAAATTACTTTATCATTGTATATTTGAATTGCTGCACTCACAGTTGCACAGTAGCTACCAGGATTTTCTTCGAGGTTCAATTTGATAAGTGTCTATACCAAAGAACGACAATACCTAAGACACATGAGAAGTACTGAAGGTTTACTTTGTTTTCTTTGAAGGTATCATGAAGATATTGCATTCCACTGTTTTTGATTTGATTGTGGGAAAGGTCTAGAGTAGTAATCGTCTATGTATAAAGTAAGAAATAAGTATAATTTAAATAAGTCTAAGAAATATCTAACTTGATGGTTTTGTAATGTGTCAGCCAAATACTTTGTTCCAATGTCTCCAATCTCATTATGTGAAAGATCAATTGTAGTTAATGTCTGAATGATAAATAAAAAATGAATTTCAGTGTAATGAATTTGAAAAAAATGTCACTTTGTAGTTTAGTAGAGCCACAGCCACAGGTTGTATCAAATTATCTCCAATTTGATTGCGGGAAATATTTAATTCAAAGGATGCCTATTTAAAAACATAATAATATACATCATGAAATGCAAACAGAAGTGAAGAATCATAGATGGAATCGAATACTAAGACTCGTCACAAAAGCTTGTCACCTATATGATCCTGCATAAAATATGATTAAGATCTATTCGTATTTTTTTTGTGTAAGTGAAATGATATGATTTGTTTATTCTAGTTGACTAAGAATGTAAGCGCACTTGATGAAACTCCTATATTGCGTATGTGTTTAAGTTAAATTCTAAAAGTAGATATTCTGCTCTACAAAAATATCTTATAAGAGAAAATTGTGAGATATACCAAAAACTATGGATTTCCTTGGCTGAAACACATATGATCGTTCTTATACGTATAAGAAGATTGTATCAGACTTACCTCTCCTTTGCTACTACAGCTTTCATTGTAACCCCTACGCAAAATTAAGCGACATTGAGGGTCTATTAACGGTACTTCAAATACAGGATATCTTGTTGTGGCATCAAACTTTATACAGAGTGGTGTAGTATAAAGTATAATGCTTGATTCTCGCAAAATATAACCACAAATAACAGACCAATTTTTATTGTTGAGCCAGAACGGACTTTGAAATGGTAAGATAAGTGAATCTAAAGTGGCGATATCATCGAATTTCTTGCTAGTACAAGTGAAAGAAAATTGAAATTGATTCAGTAAAAGTAGTTTCTTTTGAATGAATTGTTCCCAATAAGAACCATCAAATATCGAATCAAATGTCGACCTAGATGCAAACAGTTGCAGATGACCAAGTGATGGTGTCAATGAAAGAAGGCATTCAAGTTCTTGGGTTGATAGTTTGCAGTTACCAATAGTCAATGAAACCAATTGCGGATACACTGTTAAATAAAAACATAGAATATGTAATATTTTAATAGTTGACTTTGTTTCGTTTTGATTTTTTTATCTTCTGACATATTTTAAAAAAACTGAGCCTTACAAGTTATTGGCTCATATGATGGAACTTTCTTTAAGTTGTGTTTAATTTTCTTTCATAAAACAATTTAATATTGATAGTCAAAAATTGGGTCTACTTCAATTTTTACTATGTGAACCTGAATTTGATTGAAAATTAAAAATGTTGGAGAATATGATGAACTAGAAAAAGACCAGGTAGAGTTGAGGGAGAGTAAAAATGTTTTTCTTCGATATGTTTACTTTGTAGATTATTTAGGTGAATATTGCTCACTGGTGGCGACTAATTTCGTCGAAAATGGGGATGAAGGCAATATAGATATGCTAAAAATACTTGCAGGACTTTTTTCAATATTTTATATTTCGATATTTTCATTATCTTTAGCATCTATGCAGAAACTTTTCAATTAGAGCTTTTCCGTGTTACTGATTTAGATTTAATAACCAATTCGAATAATAAAATGTGTTTCATACATCGCCTCTTTGGTCAACCTATAATTACTGTATTGCATAAAATAAACTTAGTTTTAATTGAACGAATGATTGATATTCTATATAGAGAATACATGCGTAAGTAACGTAGCCTAATAGAGCAAAGTAGAAATTGATAGAATTGTTTTGTTACGTCACAACTGTCCCAAATGGTACTAGCCGTTTGGACTCGTTCAATTGGATCATAACTTGACTGAAAAGATCCACGGGAACAAATTCTTTTAGGCTTATCCAAGTCTCAATGAAATCTCTTTGTGAGCCTAACATAAGCTCAAACGTTAGATATCACTTGGAATATTTCCCTCATTAGTGGTAGTGGTTTTAACCAAAGATTAAATCGTTTCATATTTTTGAAAACTTTAATCGAACCGAAACCATATTGTACTGAACCGATTCAATCCCTAATCTAAACGATCAGAATAGACTGGCATGCATTATTCTACATTTTTTTGATCCTGTAAGACTCAGATCAATTCAACTAGTTATATCTATTCCCTTACCGTTATTATAATGGCTTAAAGAGCCCATTTTACAGTGCGGTACACTATTAGGGAGCGAAAAATTCTATTCAAGAAGTTTTCCGGTCATACTTTGAGTCTAGTCTAAACTTTATATAATAGAAAAGAATTGCTGTCTCTACGACGAAATAGATGATGTATGAAAGATACACATTTTATTCTGTACCTGTGGAATCATTGAATGTACACTGTGTTTTTGTAGAATTGGATGTTGTAACTGTATATGACCAAAACGTTTGATTAATATTGTTCATAATACAGTTTCTAATAACAAGTGTTCTTAAACGGAGTGAATTGCCGAGGATCATACGATATTGGTGATAAGAACAATCTCTGATTGTCAGTTGTTTTAATGTATTTTGAACAGGCCACGCTATTTGATTAGTTGTGTAACTAAGATCATTTAAACGTAGTTTTTGAAGTTTGGTTTGAACGGCAATTGAAAAGATATTTGACAAGTCTGTATCATCCGCTCGCCCATACATATTGACTGTCAATGAGACTAGAGAATTAATGGTAACACGCTGAAAAAATTCTTTCATTTGATTGCCGTTGACTTCATAAAGAGTCAATGAACCAAGTCTAGTGAATTGGTTAATGCTGAAGTTTGAGAGAAAAAAATTGATGAACCATTGGTGATAGCTACCGGAAAACATCAGCGAAATGACGTTAAAAGGTTGAACGAGACGAGAAATATTTTTAAAGGAACAATTTCTCAATAAACTGGGGTTGGCAGTTGAACCGAAATTGAGTTGAAAACGATCATAGAAGTTGACAGCTGCATGAAGTTGTCTGCAAACCAAACGGATTGAAAGAACAATGGTGTACGCATCGAGGTGATCAAAGATACGATGCAGAACTTCGACAGGCAAACAGAAAAGTGGTGAGTCTGACATTTATCTAAAAACCTAGAATGAATTAAAAAGTCCTAGACTAAGCGGTTACTCTATCGGGTGTGGGTGAAGAAGCCAGCAATGCCCAACCCACACTCTGAATTTAAGAAAGTTAGAAATCGAAGAAATGAAGAGTAGACAGAGAACTTATCGAGAGAGTATGGGCGAGAATATTTTACTCATATCCACGCCCGCACTCTATTACATTTCTTAAGTTCCGTCGATTCTAGTTGGTTTATAGATTCACAAATCACCAAAAGTTCAGAACTTGCACATATGTCTTTTTTACCAATGATTTAAATTTAAAACTTACCCAAATGGAATTATTTAAATCAAATGATTTGAAAAAATTCTAATAGTTTGTAAATTTCAGATGGTATTGTGTGTGACTGAAATTTCTTTTCGCGGAATGATTCTTTTCGTTTCTTTTATAAAGTAAAAACAGTTGTGGGTTTTTTTTTCTTTTTTTTCCAACTGCTCATTGTACTGCGAAAGAAACTGTGAAGATTGAGAAAAAAAACCCATTGATGGTCCACAATACACAAGAAATGTTATTAGAAAGAAAGAGAAAAAGAATTCATATGAAATGTATTAGATTTAAGTGCTGTGCAATTAAACATTGTTGATATAAAACTGTAGTCTTCTTAGTGAAAAAGAAATATCTCTTCGAAATACAAACAAAAATATCTGATGCAATTGAGAAAATTATGTTATTCGTCTGAATGTACTGGTAGGCAGAACATTTGAGGGTGGGTGGGTGTGAGTATTCTATTCATTTCAAACGTACACCAACATCCTCAAATAATTCTAACTTTTTGTTTTTGATTATTTATCAATAGTTAATCTTATAATTGTCAAAATTTATTTTTCTATTTGTTAATATCAATTGGAAGAGATCGTCAGATATTACTAAAAAAAAAACATTGCATTCTCCAAGCTGCCAATCTTTGTTAGATCGATTTCAACCAGTTGAATGCTTTTCATACATATGATATGACGATAAAACAATGCATACAGAAAATCTTGCGCACATCGGACACGCCGATTCTTTCACTTAGTGAACATTCTTAGATACAAGCAGAATGAATTTCGTCCGATAGTACAACATAAATATATCACTGAATTGATGTCATTGTCTTTTTCAGACGAATAGGGGGACAAAATGAACATAGGGTGTGGATAATATATAAATATGATACCGACACCCACACTCTCAAGAGTTTAGCGATTCTCAGATGCAGTCTAATTGGATTCGGTATGCAATCACTTCGTGATTGATGTGCAAAGAGGATCTTCACGATCGCAACCGCCGTACGGATAAAAAAGGCTACTGCAGTCGCTCGTTATGGTTAGATCAATTATTTGAAGTGCACACGTTGCTGTCAACACAAATCGCTGGCTGCCTAATGGGTGTCAAACAGTTGCATATTGTCTCTGTTAGGCACAGATCTACTGTCAGATTATAGTATAAAGTATTCGTCAGGATTCTCGGATCGAATGTAACTGCATTTTTAATAGTCCGACGTGATCCGATCAGTGAGTTTGCCTTGGGAATTTTCACCCACCATCACTCTCAAAAAAGTTCCCTTGTTTTGAAAAGAGAAGAGAGACAACACATTTTAATGTGTTGTATTTCTTCGAAAAATAGTCAACTGGGAAAAAAATCATTAAAATGTTTGTTGAGTCTATATCTTGAAAAAGAAACAAGAACAACAACAGAAAGAAAAAAACGTGGGTTATTATTCGTCTGGCACAAGAAAGCAGCCACCCAGTGATGAATGTTCTCATACAGTTAGTACGGCTTCTTGGTATGAGTATTCAGACTGCTCAATCGGGCACTAGCTTTAGAGAGATTTTTTAGAAGAATACTATGCAATTACAAAATTTGGAGAAATTTTCATTTTTATAAATCTGTTGATTGGTGTTCGAAAGAAGTGAACAACATTAGGAACAGGATGAAAACATTCCCATTCAAGTTTGTATATGATGCATTGTGTTAGTTAAAAATGAAATGTAAATATTGTGAGAGTGTTGTGCAGAATTGTACAGGTAAATGAGAGCATATAAATTGATGCATATGTCGCATATTCAATCACATATTACAAGAAGAATAGCGAAACAGTAGCAGGTGAGTAACAAGGGCAAGGTAAGCATGCATTTAAACGCCGTTCGCACTTGCGTATCTTTTTTCTTAAGGTGATTGATATCGATTCTAAAGCATCAAAACGTATTCATATTCTTGATCTTCTTTTCATAGAAATATGTGTGAGTACCAAATAACAAAGGATCTAATTCTTCACTTTTCTTTCCCTTATATTAGCCGAAATGATTGATTGGGTGGAAGATGAAGCAGAGGCAGGTGTCGGCTATATAGTTGATGAAGCAGAAACGGTTGTCGACGATGGGGTTTATTATGTAGTTAAAGAAGCAGACGCGGATGTCGACGGTTTGATTGATGATGCTGCTGGTGACGCAAAGACGATTGTCGATGCTTATGGTACCAGCATGGGTGCAAGTGTGGGTGCCGGCATTGGTACAGCTATTGGCGGTCCCATAGGGATGGCTGTGGGTGCGGGTATAGGTTACGAAGTTGGTAAGTTAGTTGATGATGCGGGTGACGACGCGATTAATGAAGCGGATACTGAAGCAAAGTCACTTGTCGATGATGAAGCTCAAACTGTGGAAGGCGAATTGGAATAGGACAATAATCACAATCCATCCGCATTTTAACTTCAGACAATTAGAAATTCATCAAACAAATAAACGAGAACACTGAAAAAAATATATATATTGTTATGATCCACATAATTTTCTCTCTTCTTCAATTCTTCCGCCTTATAGTTCTTACTATAATTAAACTGCGCATGTAAATTTACGTTCCATGTTTGTTCTCTTGAGGGTGTGGGTGTGGGTGTGGGTGTGGATGTGGGTGTCAGGGTTCCGAATGGTAAGTGTACACAGCAGAAGAAAAATAGGTGAAACACTTGCGACTTTTGTAATACATGCTGTTTTACACATTGCTGGCGAAAACAAAATGTGCACGGTACACTCTGCGAACAAAATTAACACTTTGTTTTTTTTAAGCCATAAATTGATTTCTTTTCTACTTAAATTTAAATGGATTAATTTTGATGAGAGTTGTTCAAGATGGTTGTACAATTATTGTAGAATTAAACTTAGTATAGAAGTTGATTCAATATGGTTTTGTGATGAGCATATAGACATGCATTATCCAGTAAAAGAAAACGAAACTGATAGTGAAAATGAAAATTTTGACTGATTTGTTACTAATGTTATAATGTTATTTTTTTCTCGAAATAGTTTCTTTTAGAAATGTTCCTATTCATGTCAGATTACATAATTGTGTGCGTATTAATTGTGTATTTAGTATTATTCAGTATGTATTTGTTTTACATTCTTCACTAGCAAAAAATATGAACACTTTCTATATTTCACGATTATAATTAGATTCAATTTATACACTTTGGTACACTCTGCTTTCAAAAACATAGTGTACAGAAACATTTTTCTTCTAAATTCTATTCGGAACCCTGATCTGTACTAATCTAGTCTTAGCTTCGATCAGTTTTAGCGAATGACATGAACGTTCCTACGATTTCTAGTCATTTTGAGTCAATTCCAATCAATTTCAAACAATTCTACTATTGGAACCGAAACAAATTGAAATTGGTGCATGCCTAGGTTTTACCACTAAACAAGATTTATGATCAAGTCTGTTATACCTTCAGCATAAGTATTTTCACAATTGTATGAAGTTAACAGACAATAACATATACGAGTGAAAACAGTACAAACTAACCAGACTATTTTCTGGGTATGACACACAATGGTCTGTTATATTTCAATTCGAATTTAAATTAAAAAGAAGACTTTATTTAAAATTGAAATGTGAAGGATACAGAAACTAGAAAGTCATTGTTCACTCAATAAAGCGTGTGGGTGTGGATGAAGGTTGTCTATTGGTCAAAAATCCACACTTACATTCACTCCATCCCCGTTCTGAGAACGGGTACGCGAGCACCACTCTCGTTCATGGGAATGGAACGAGAATTTTACACCCCTAACTACACCCACAAACCCGTCCACATCCAGCCTCCATTTCTGTTCTAGAAGCGGATTTTTTCTCAGTATATTTGTTTCCGCGCGCGCTTCAAACGTCATCTTCTTCCATTTTTGTTGCGCGATCGTTAATTTTTTCAGTATTTTTTTTGTGCGCGCTCTTCAGACATCATATTCTGCCATTTCTGTTCTGTAATTGGGCTTTTTCCCCAGTGCATTTGTTTGTGCGCGCTCTTTAAAGTCGACGCAGTTCTCACACAACTAGTGTACATTTGCCGCCGATATATAAATAGAAGCTCTGAATTTCGTTTGGTCTTCATTGCAACAAAACGGTGAGTATAGTTTAACATGTATTACTCATTCTATTTATTGGACGCATGTTTTTCTTGTGAGTTGTTTGTGGAGGTAAGCCTGTGGTACAGGCTACATTTTACGAACAAATCATATTTACTTCACGTAAGTCAAGGATCAGACCTTATCGCGAACATAAGTTGTAGCTTGTTTTCGAATCGTTTTCGCTGAGTTGCAGGTTCGGGTATGGATGTATGTTATCGAAGACAATGTGTTGATACAGAACCGATAAAGATGAAGCAATATCCGAGCGAGTTTACGCTAAACTTTCCGTCAGATGAGATTTGATTTGCCCAGTTTTGTAGGCTATCATTTACCCCCGGAGATTCGGCTTTGATGATGACTGTTCGTAATTTCAAAGATGGGTGTGGATGTCCTTTGTATTATACTGCCATCATTTTTCGGGTCCTGTTGTCTATATGAAGTGCTTCACATAAAACTGTAAATATCACTTTTCTATATGAGATGTTTTGTTCATATTGGAAAGTGAAGCATTATTACCATGTTCGTTATAGATATTCATTTCAAGTAACAAAGGATGACTTAGCTATGCTGGCTCGATTTGTATCTGGAGGATGAGTTTACAAATGAAAATAATAATTCCAAGTCATCATACGTCATGTTTCGTCCCTTCTTAAGAGAATCATCAGCTGGCACGGACCATAAAAGAGGAGATTTTAATTAAATGAATGAAATTAGAGAATGTGGGTATGGGTATGAATGAAATATTCTTCTACCCCCAACCCCACGCGCATAGATGCCTACATGCACCCAGAACCTCGAAAAAGCTCGTTTTTACTGTCGAAAAATGCTAAAAATCGAAACAAAAACTCATTTATCTCGAAACTAGTTTTTTTACCAAAATTATGAGATATTCCCCCTTTTTCTCGTAAACGGTTTGACCGATTAAGCCGAAAATGTTGTTTATAGCACTACAAGTAATTTGTGGGATGTATATCTTGAGGGTGTGGGTGTGGATGGGATAGTCTCGTTTTTTCATGCACACCCACACCCACACCCACACCCAACCTGTATTCCTGGGTGAAAAACTTTGCTGTTTCGTAAAGAAAGCACGTGACACTGTCGTATTTTTCTTCTGGTTTGGAGAGAAAGTCTCCTGATCAACTCTTGTTTTCAACGAAAAAACTCTGACTTTTAAAATTTGGATTTGGCAACTCTGACCCCCCAGTGAAAAATTTCGGTCAAAAAATCATGATTATTTCGGATTATGAGCAACCTAATCAGATTATTTCCAGAAAAAGTCTCTTTTTTCAGAAGAATCCGATTATAATTGATTATTT